TATAATTTCCATATCTCTGTGTGGAACTGATCATCACTCTTTCACAATCTACAAAATACAGACTACTTCATTAGAAAGAAAATAAAAAGAAATGAAATATATTCATAATCTATGACATAAATACATAGGTTAGTGGATAATTCAGCAGCAAAAGTTATTCTAGAAAAATAAGTGCACAATAATTCTATAAATCCAAACATTTAGTGAAAAAACATTATTTAGTGGGGAAGAAATAAAAGTGTAGCACTAAATCTGGTAAATGTTAGGGGAGAGTGGGGACGATTGCAACACTTTTTGCATTTCCTGTAGTTTCTCAGAGACTGTTTGTATTAGAAAGCCAAAATTTTAATACAATAATGGCACATCTGTCAGCTACTCACCCACATTGCTGTAACATGTGTACATATGACAATATACATACAGTTTATACTTGCAAAATCATTGACATTTATCTACAAATCAAGTATAATAATGGGGACACAATGATCTTGGAGAGAGCTTTAGAGACTGTTGTAACCCAGCGCGACCAGGGTTTGAATGCTGAATGGAGAATGACTGACAGCCGCAGCGGAGAAAAGAGTTTACCCGAACTTTAATGTAAGGGCTTACATATTGTCCTCACATTAAGCTATCATATGGCTTCAGAAGACTTGGAGAAAACATTATTGTGCTTTATAATGCTTTTATGCCTTTTGTGCGGCTTAACAGTAACACAGAATACATGCACAATATCGGATTTGGATCGGCCCTGTCTTACCGATACCCGATCTGGCAAAGAATGGCAGTATCAGAGCCTGGTATCCGATATGAGAATCGAATCGGCGCATCCCTTGTGGAAACCATGATATACATTTTTTTTCTCTCCAATATAAGTAGAAAATTCAAAAGCACAGCATTTTTTGGAGATAGAAAACTTTTGTAACATTAAAAATGTCTTTACTGTTACCCGATCAATTTATTGTGCTTGTGCAGAAGTTTATGCTCGATTCTTAATACTGTGTGTCGTTACCTACGTGATCCACAACAGTTTTTTGTTTTGTAATGGTTGCTCATGAGTAATATTTTTGCTTTAAAAAAAAAAAAAAAGTGTGTTTAGAGTAAACAATCTTATTTTTGCATTTAGTACTGCCCTTCAGAAACTAAAAAAAGATGCTTACCTGTTTCTCATAAACATAAACTTTTAACTTTTAACCTCAACTCTACACATAATGTTGATTTGCATGTGAAATAGCTAGCAATATCTAAATAAGGTATATAGCCCCCCCCACTGTTTTGAATATGCATTAAAACACAAGCACATTTCTGAGGACATCTTGAGCCAGGGATAAGCTACCAAAAACAGAGTCTGTCTCCAAAAAACGAGGGTGTCTGGTCAGCTTAGTTTGTATTTGACAGGCGAGCACAGAGCCAGAAGATCTTTGAGAACCTGAGAGTGTGAATCGCTATTTTACTGATCCCCACCTGCTGAGAAACACAAGCATACAATTACCCTCCACTCACAGCTAATCTGCTGAAATGAATCATGTTATTATGTATACAGACACGGGTAATTCCATGTTCTAGTCCTTCAATTTGTTGAAGCAAATATAACATCCCTGTAGAATTCTGAAAGGGCGATTAATTTTCAGTTAATTTCTTTTCCTGCCAAAAAGTCTGAAATGCACTTGGTGTAAACACAGGAAATTGCATCTAATAAGCATTCAGAATAAATCTTTCAGACACTGTATTTATTTCAGAGCTATATTTGTTGCTCATATAATACGTAGATCCTATGACATACATATTTGATCATTCAGGTATTCTGACCCCCCCCCCCCCCCCCCCATTAAAGATGGTTATATGAATGCAAATGTCTCTTTTAAGCATAACAGTTTGTATTAACATTCGTCTCGGGTGAGCAGACCACAAGTGGTCAGGCGAGACACATCGTCATTTATACCTGGTAGTAACATGCGTTTCAAATGCATCTCCTGTGACCACCTGTGTGTGGATTTTGTGACCAATTACATCACTTACTATTCCATGTTAATGCATGTTAATGAAGATGAAACACACACACACACACACACACACAAAACAAAACAGCAAAAGAAAAAAGCTAAGTCACACTATTATCCCAAAATGTTAAGAAATTAATACTTTTATACAACAAGAATGCATACAATTGGTTAAAAGTGACAGCTATATTGGTGCAACATTTTTTTTAATGCATGCTGTTATTTTGAACTTTCTATTCATCAAGGAACCTTGAAAAAATATGTATCACAGTTTCCACAAAAATATTATTCAACACAGCTGTTGTCAACATTGATGTTGATAAAAAAAAATTTGATTTCTGAAGGATCATGTGATACTGGAGACAGGAAAATTCTGATGAAACATCACAGGAATAAATTATTGATAAAAATATTTTAAAGGGGTCCTATTATGCTTTTTCACTTTTTGAATTTTAGTCAGTGTGTAGTGTGTATGTTTGGGCATAAAAAAGATATACAAAATTACAAATCTCAAAGTCCACGCCTATACACTTATCTGTACATAGTAAATGCAGTTTTTTTTAAGCAGTTGTTGACATCCTATCTAAAACATGATTTAGCCAAAAAAAACAACAACAAAAAAATAACGTTACCACTCTGTCTTGCAATATCCGTGCGTGCAAAGGTTCTGCGCGATCCTCTTGTTCAATATTCTCGGGGTCTGAATCCGGCTCAAAATTATATGGCAATATTGACGCCATCCTTAACTAAACCTGAGCAGACGAAACTTGCTGCTTTGGCAAGGGGCGTGGCAGTACTGACATACAAAATGACAAAGTTAAACCCTTGTTTTAACGCAGCAGTTGACTGACAGGTCAGTCTTTGCTGCTGTCTGCAATGTACAGCATTTGGAGTGATTATCGTTTACACTACAAATGTAATGTGGCCACATGCATTTCTGGTTACATTCAAAAAGTGGTTTAAGTGGCCTGATCATAAATGTTGTCAGTCCAATCGCTGGTGGCTCCAATCCTTGGAGGCTGAATGTGAACATTACAGTTTAGACGAATCCAAATGTGGCCATCAGACATTAAGTTCAAAAAGTTTCATTTTGATAACAAAGAGTCAGGGAAAGATGTCAGGGCAAAAGCAAAGTGAGTGAACCAGTAAGACTCAGATCTACAGCTCTAAAACAGCTGGTAAACATTAGCTTTTTCAAAGTGTGCATTTGTGTGTTTCTCCAGTGTTTCAACAGAGATAAATTTAACACCTCTAGAGAGACACAACAGATGCTGGAACTCTATCAATGCTGAACACACAAACTACTTTCTGTAGTACCCAACACTCACACACACTCAAACACACAGCGTCTTAAAAAATGAACATGCACAGAAGTTGCATTTTCATCAAAATTAAACTTTACAGTCCTGTTTTCCTTTGCAGCCTCTCTCTCCTCCTTCCCCAAAAACTTTCCATCATTTTGTTGTTTAAAAACTTATTGTAAGGTCAAAATTTATCTTGATCTTATTTACACTCTTAATGTGTGCTCTTTATGGCTAAATTTTGTGGGCAAAAAGATCCATTGACAGGTGTAGCAGAGTATGAATCACAGTTCACACAAAACTCACTTTCAAACCAAGCAGCTTTCTGTTGGTCAGCACTGTGAATTTGCCCTCTTAATCCATCCCTCCTCCTGAGGCTCCTCCTGTCTTTATCCACCTGTCCTAATAGGTTTACTTCATTTTCTCCATACTTCTACTTTCTGTTTGGGATCTCATCCTCTGTTCTGCTGTGCTGGTTCTTAATACAGTACTGTGCAAAGATTACAGAGACACTTCCACAAGTGTCATCCCATGAGAAATGAATGTTCTGCTGATGAACGAGAGTAAAACCTATGCTGAACTCACTTGTTTTCTTACTGTTGTGTTATTATTTTTATTATTAAGCCATGGCTCTAGCAATGTATTTATCTGTCTCACCCCTCCAACTGCCACCGTTTGCTCAAGGTCCCAAAGACTACATAATTTGTTGTGTCAAAATTTTTATTTTTAAAAAATATCCAGGTTTGCTGTGCTTGTTTATTGGCCTGCACAATTTGTCCAAAATGTTTGTGATCATATATAAATATAACTGCAATGATAATATTACTACTGCTAATAATAATAAACCGATAAAAATAAACAAATATATTATTATATTACAAAATAAAATTATTAAATAAGATTAATATTACAATGTCTCACTGTAAAATAAAAATGAGTGTTTAATTCAATAATGATTATTATGAATTATTATGTTTTTAGAGTACATCAGTAAAACTGCAATAATAATATTTAAATTAAATATAGAATATAAATAATCGAAATAAAAATATTTGTCTTTTTTATTTTTAAACATTAAACCATCAAGCCCTCATTTTGGTGGAACATTGCAGGTAGATCTTAAAGCCTCTATTATTGCGAACTGCCAGTTTATAAGTGATTTTGCTTACAAATTTGGAGAGATGGTTGAGGCATGGTGCGTTCACAAATGTATGCAATAAGCACCTAAGCTCATAGCACATATAAAGATGAGTTTATGTGAAGCAACATTTACTGTTAACCTAGCTGCTCTTACAGTAAACACTGAAAACACTGGATGATGAATTGTTCACACCGAAACAAGCAACAGATATATTTCTTTATTTCAAACATTTGAACCTTTAAAAAATCCTCTGATCCGGAATCAGCCAACTCACATCTTTATCACTGCTATCTAATTGAATAACTAGCAGCAAAGAGAAGTCTGATAACACAAGTTTAGAGGGAGTCATGACCTGTGCCCTTTAACAGACCTGTGAGAAAGTGATACTTTCAGAAAAAAAAAGACATGAGAGAGAAAAAGAGGAAAAAAACTGTGACTTAAGCGTTAAGCCCAGTTAAGACCAAGCACTTCAAACGCCATGGCAACGGGAGTCAAAGGTTAATGAAAGGGCACTTTGGCGGAGGGATGAAGACATGACAGAGGAATAAAAAAGTGGATTACCCAGCTCTGATTTCAAAGAGTCCCTCCGCGCGCTCCCTCTCTCTGGAATACCTCAGAGTCTGAGTTTGATCAGACTGTCTTAGTCCTCGCTGTCAGCCAGTGGCAGTTACCGCAGTAAAACTGGGAGAAAACAGATTAAAAACATACAGATGTCATAGCAATTTACAGTCATCCGCATGATTAAACTTGCATCTCTGGTGTAATTTGTGTTGTATTTAAACCATGTCTCGTTTCACCTCTTCACCTCTGCTGTTTCTTTGCTTAATTTTCTGCCATGATCCAGACTGCAGGAGTCAAGAGGTTATAGATCAGAGAGATGATTCATCATGCCTGCATCACCAGAAACACAGAGCAATTTATCTTTGAGGACTCTTCAGTGGTTTTAGTCTTCATTATAATGGATGCAGGGATTACATTAGTTCATTAGTGCCGTGGCTTCCAGTTATTGTAAGGGTTGTCAACCTTTTTCGGTCTGCAACCAATTTTTCATTCATGTCACAGAATTATGATACTCGGAAAAAGCACCTTTCTTAGGAACTTTGTTAGTTGGCTTGTTACATTGAGTTTAACTTTGTGTCCTTGTCATGTTGTATCATAAATGTTTCACGTAATATTTTAAGCACAACCATTTAACCGAGAAACCGTTTAGGTCATTTGAGTGGGCAACAAACAAGTCTTTTATTTGCAGGTGTTTTCCACGCGGCGTTGAACGCGCAGGCGCCACGGCAGCGGCAGCTTCAGCTCGAGCATACTGCATGTTTAAAGGGGTCATATGACATTGCTAAAAAGAACATTATGTTGTGTATTTGGTGTAATGCAATGTATTTATGCGGTTTAAGGTAAAAAAAACAACAACATTATTTTCCACATAATGTACATTATTGTTGCTCCTCTATGCCCGCCTTTCTGAAACGCGTCGATTTTTACAAAGCTCATTGTTCTGAAAAGCGAGTTGTACACTGATTGGCCAGCTATCCAGTGCGTTGTGATTGGCTGAATACCTCAAGCGTGTGACGGAAATGTTACACCCCTTAACATACTGTGATGCCATCTCCCAGCACGAGACAAAACCAATAAATCCCATTACAAACGAGGCATTTGTTGCATCCAGTGGGGACATAATTACTGATTATAATGACTTATACTGTGTTTTTAAGCATTGCGTATCATGCCGTGTAAACAAAACCATGTCTGCATTTGTGATCGGAGAGTCTTAAATTTTATAAAGAATATCTCTTTGTATTTGAGACTTTAGTCTTTGCAACGTTACAGATTTTCTTTTTGCACCAAGAGCTTGTAACACTCCAAAGAGAAAGGAAAAATTGAAATCGTATCATATGACCCCTTTAACTAAAAAATCATTAAAAAAACAAGTAAATATTTCTCGAGTGTGTTATTTATCCGTAAAACACATTAAGTTAATGAATGATTAAATTTTTCCTATTCATTGGCAAAATGAAAATGTATGCAATCTGTATGTATGCATATACTGTATATACTGTATATATATATATATATATATATATATATATATATATATATATATATATATATATATATATATAATATGATTTTACTGTTGCTTATACCCTGAAATTAGGCTGTTGAGCTAGCATATTGAAATCAGCATTTATAACTGATGATTCTTTTGTTGATGTTGTTGACTTTAAATTTATTTTGTCCAAAATCATTCCGTCAGTCCCTTTCTTTTCACTATACCCTATGTATTGAATACAAAATGCATATTTGGAATATGGAACCATTTTGGCCACAGCTATACTAGATGGAACTGAATGGACACACAAGCTACATGCTGTTTGTGTGAATAAAATCATGGTAATATTATTAGAAAATACGAGATTATGTTATGCTGATGATACTCAACTATATATCTCAACAAGACCAGACGAAACTTCTAAATTATCTAAGCTAACAGAGTGTGTTAAAAATGTAAAAGATTGGATAATAATAATTTTCTCCTATTAAATTCAGATTCAGACAGAGATATTACTTATAGCAACTTGTCTTTTGAAAATCATATTTCCCATGTTACAAAAACAGCATTCTTCCATCTTAGAAACAGTGCTAAGCTACGACACATTTGTTCATAAACGTTATAAACCTTTTTTTAACAAGGAATATAACTATATTTCAGTATAAATAACGTATCATTGCAGAATTAAAAGTGCTAACTAATCAAAAAATATTGCTCTATCATAATTTTTTTTTATGTAGTTGATTTGATCTGTATGCTACACATGCTACCTGTTTGTGATGCAGAAAAGCTAGTTCATGCATTCATGATCTATAGACTGGACTATTGTAATGCACTGTTAGGTGGTTGTCCTGCATCTACATCTCATAATCTTGTACTGCAGTTATCAAATGTACATTATTATTCTTTAGCTTGGGTTAAACAAATCAGTTTTGCTTGAATAGTGTTCATCGTCTGTTTGATGACGTCTTTAATTGATTTTTCCGTACATTTCTGCCATATGTACACTAACTGACAGTCACCACTGATAAGCTACTACTAAATATTGTAGAAACTTAATTTTCTGTAAAGTTGCTTTGCAACGATTTGTATCGTGAAAAGCTCTAGACAAATAAACTTGAATTGAATTGAATTATAGAATGAATGCATAAAGTTGAGATGAGACATCTTTCACCCTTTTCTTTTATAGGGTAGAACCCTTCACACATTCTCAATTTTGACCGCCTGCTTTGGTTGTTAAATTGTCCATGCAGAATTAATGGCCACCACTGCCCTATAACACTCCATTACCCTGAGTGGAAGCAGATGGGCAGTAGAAGAAGGGTATCGTGGGTAAAAGTGTCTCCCAGCTCAGTCTCTGTTCTCCCTTTCTTTGGTTCTGCAGATGTGCTATGAGGCTCTTCACTCCCAACTGGAAATCACTGATGGCTTCTGCCACTGTGCTGTCTAATTAGGGAATCAAATTTCCTCTTAGTATCAGCATACATCGGCTTTTAGCAGTAGTGGGTCATTCCTCTTATGCAGGTTTCTTGCAATCTGATATATCAAGGTTTCTATCAGATTTTAAGAACTATGCTATAGTTTTTGTTATAGGTTATGTAATTATAGTATATTTCTGATTAATAAAACGAACACATGAAGAAACACCTGTCATTTTACTTAATAAATTGGCAGGTGCATAACAGCTGAGAACATATAAAATCTGCTCAAACTTTTCGTAACTTTTTTTTCCTTTTTGTATTAAAAAAATCTATATTGCTCAACATCAAAACACACCACATCTCGAACGTTAATGCAGATCTGCTATAATTAAGTAATAAAATGACTTTCCTCACACTTAATTGACTCTTAAATTATGATTAATAACAGTTACATTTCCCCACTGAGTTTAATTTTGTTCAATGTTCTGCCTGGGTTTGATTTAATGCATTTAAAAAAATAATAATTATCCCGAAAGAAGGCCTTTCTTCATCATTTACTGATAAACAGGGGGTTTTATGTAAACTGTAAAAAGTGATTTTAAATATAACAAAGATAAATAAATAAAACAAAGATTATTGGAGTATGTTTTACAAGAAAATTGTAACTCCCCTTAATGGTCAGTTTTTAGAAATCAGACAGAATAGAGCCATTATAATCTCAACGAATACAATTTTGAGTTGTAATATTTATAAATGATAATATTTATATAAAAATAGATTAATATTATTTATTATTATTAAAAGATTAATTATACTATTTTTATATCAAGACTTATATGATGGGAGCATGTGTGTTATGCAACTGCTTATCAATGAAGAACCAACCGTAATCTGTCATAAGATTCCTTTTTAAACTCTGTGGATCAGAGCTCCGTCTTATTCATGAATGAGACACAGAAGTCAGTCTGAATGTCATAGAGTTCGCTCAGAATAATATGTGAGGGTCCTTGCTAGCAGATAACCACAACAATCCCAATCTATTTCTTTCAGCCTCTCTCAGCTGGTCTCAGGTATGGAACATACGTCAGCTCCGCAGCCTTCAGACGTCACTTGACAATAGTAGTCCGAGAATGCAATCTGGGCAGTTGACAAGAGAACGACAGATTAGGGTTTATGGAAATGAGTCTATCAGGTTAAACTCTGACAGGCAAATTGTGCTGTCCATAGAGTTGTTACAGAGAACAGAGCTGCTCTCCGTGCAGCTGGGACTGTTTTAAATACGATTAGGAGATTGTTTAAACAAAGAGAGGGGTGAAGAGAATGAAGGGAGGGAGACAGAAAGGACAGCAGACCGGGTGATACAGCACCCTCTTCTCTCACTCTTTTAATTAACTTCAAGGCTGAAGGTGTGAAATTTAATAAAGGGAAATTAATAGATGCCAAAACCAGTGTGCTGGCACGAATAAATTAATTTCAATCAAAGGAAATGGTCTTGCATCATTGTCCTGAGTATGTGTGTGTGGAGATCAGAGCAGATGGAGGAAGGCCAAATGTATTCTGGTCCATTTCTGAGAGGTCGGGTCAGCATGGCAGGTTTAATGTATGTCCGTATGAGACTTTTAGGCAGGTGCTACTGTCTTGTTGGGCACCTGAAATGGCTCTGTAAGATAAAAAGATGAAATAATATCATATCCAGAGTTCAAGTTTACCTATACAATATTATTTATCTGAGCATTTGCCAGATCAGTTTACACTTTATACCACAAAAACTGTAGGAAACATCATGATAACGAAACGAAAATTGATAAATACATGCATCAGCTGCATTAAATATTATTTTCTATTTATTGCCTACAAAAAAAGACTAAACTATGTGTAATAACTATGTTATTTGCAAATAAATTGGTGATTTTTTTCACAGAATCGGTTAATCTAAATAAATTATCTGAACGAACCTCCCAGTGCTTTGCATGAGAATAGCATTTAATTATTTCCTCAGGCACTAAATGAATGAATGAATAAATAAATAAATAAACTGAGGTACTATTGAACAACTGAAAAAAATATAGTTAAGAAAATAATAATAATAAAAAAAAAGAGGTGCCATTTTAGTTAGCTATGCACTGGTATGAGGGTAAAAGAGAAAATGCAGATGAAGCTTGAAAGCTAAGTGCAAAAATTTATTTTACAAGAATTTATGATGATTTTATAAGAGCTCAATCAGTAGAAAGCAGAGAGAAAAAAAGCTAAATCAATCAGCTGAAAGTCAGGAACCCTGTAAAGACCTTAATAAGATGTTAAAAACAGCATGCTGGAAAGCTCATTTATGCCTGCTCGGTCCTGGATGTTTTACTGTTATTGATTAGTTTGGCTTCTCTGCACACTGAACCACAACAAACAACAACAAATA